TGGATGCTGCGCGCTTATCTGAATAAGCCGAATCAAAGTCATTTTAATTCGTGCACACACACACACAAAATTGAGAAGCATCCTGTTCATGCTAAAATAGACGAAAAATAAACCAAAGCAGTAAACGTGATCTAGTTTCAGGCATTCCGGAGGAACGCGGCAGATGAGGTTGACAGACGAACTGTTGGGCCAAGAAGCCCCGATTGGTTGACCACGAAAGACGTTTGCAAACGACCCATAACAGGCATATGCAAGTCACTCTCTGCCTGTTGTGCGTGCGCTAGGTGGGGTTAGTTAAAAGCGGTTATGGAAATGTTCATTTGTTACCGAATAGTCCACCATATGCAATACACGACTTTTAACGAGGCTCTTGATTGTTTCACTACTGGACCACAGAACCAGCACTTGGACGAACGTTTTGTGTTGCTATCGGTAAGTCTAGTTTAACACTGTGCAACCAGTTTCGGTTCCTGGCATGGAGAATTGAATCAAACCAGTGGCATTGATGAATTCCGAGAAATTAGCATTATACGGATCACCATGTACAAACACCTGTTCTTGAAAATCTCGAAATCTATTACTTGCAGAAACAGGTAAAATTTACGTCTCCGGGATCGGTGTGGCGCATATCGTACCAGAGTTTTGTGTTGCGGTCACCACTCCGAAACCCGCTCATTGACTAGGGAGTGTCAACTATCATGCATGAACAATATGTACATCCTCGAAACTGTGTCGTTCACTTCTCCCGCTGTTCATCACACAATGATGTACAGTACAAAATGATTTCCCCTTGCCGATCATGCTCATCATCTGGACTATCCACAATTCAACTCGATAGTCAAACAGCTTGATTGGTATTTGCCGATTAACTGACAGCCTTGTTGAATAGTGGATCACTTTAGTCTACTATTGCAAATCAACATTCGATATTTATCGGGAAAAGGTTGTTCAATTACAATGGCAGCAATTAGCAGCAATTAAGTGTTTTATCAATAAGTTGAAATCAAACACCCAATCATCGATTTTTTCGTTGTTTCCCTTTCGAAATAAACTGTTTCACATGATCCCCTTTTGAAATAGAATCATGTGCACGGTCAAAATGACTGACAAACGTGACAATCATCAAAACGGAATCAAAACGGATTTCCCCAACTAAACAGACCGGCGTTCTGGCTAACTCAAATGAAGTGCTGAATCCATGATTGATTACTATCCAAATGGTTAATGCAATACTGGTTCGAAAATGGTGCGTTCGAAAACCACCACCACCACCACCATCGCTCTCACCACTGTTGTGAGGTACTACTCTCATTTGTGAGTAGTAGGTAGCATAGTTGGCGATTTATTTCAACGATCAAAAATCAACAAGATCACAGAGAGAAAATTGCTGTACCTCAAAGAATAATTATAGATTACTACAATCATTATCCCGTTGTGCAGCCAGGAACTGTGATGGTATGTTCCTGATGAGATTTTTGTGTTACGTGTGTGCCAAATTAGTGCTGTGTCATCTGTAACCGAGCGCTGCCTGTCGGAATTGTATCACCACCACTACTACATTTATTTAACTCCCTCATTTAGAAACAGACAGTCATCTATTGGTGACGTCACCCTTCCTCAAACGTTTCTGTGTCACGTTCAATTCAATGAAGTGGAAAATAAAAAAAACTAATTATTAATAAAAGACTGAAAAAGAAACAATGAAGCAAATGGATTTGATTAAATTTGATTGGGCCATCAAAAAGGAAGATCAAGGAGTCTAGGCAGATTGACTTCCGGCGTGTTATTTCAGTGTAATATAATAACAGATTTCTCCCACTCAATTAATCCTTGTGAATGAGGGGGATACCTGTATATTAACGCAACCACAGATAAGATTTGATACATCTGCAATGAGTCACCAAAAATCTACAAAATTATGCTAACTCCCTTTTCGCTTTTTCTTCGTGCACCCAGACACATTTGGTCGGTTTTGCTAACTTCCTACTACTGTTTTCTACGATGGCGCTAGCTAGTCCGTATGGATGCCAACGCCGGGGGATCAATCAAATTTCGATCGATAATCAAATCTAGCTAGACCACTCTGTGTGTTACGTTATTCATTCGAACGATTCCTTATGCGCAAATAACGAAATGCAATGATCGGTACTTTAGTGATCGGGCAAGCTATCTATGAAGTTCAAATGTGAGCACGGCCGCGAAGTGGTGCGCAGAATGAATGCACGTGCAACCCATATTTTAGTCTGTTCTGCGAAATCAACTGCAAAAGATTAGAAGCAGCTTTTTACTGAGCTCTAGTAAACAGTTAGAACACTTATGGTATTTGGCAGATTGAATGTTCAAATTATGAAAAGCTTGTAGCCTAGGTGGCCTTCAAACCCGTGCACGGAGGCCGAATACGCTGCTTTGTTCGAGTACGCTTTACCAACTGAACATTGATCTCTTCACATTCGAATCAAGCACACAACACACATGTGGAATCCACCAGGTGGGTGATCCGATTGTGAAAAGATGTGGTGGTGATCCCAGCCTGCGAGATGACGCATACCCTGGAGCCACACGATACAGTTTTAGGACAACTGTGACCAATCAAGATTCACGACTGACGTCAGCAATGCGCGTACGTGTCACAGCTTCTGAACTACGTACCACAGGTCGATCGTACCAGCCAATCAGAAACCGTGTAGCTCAGACAGAAGATGAACAACGCCAGAAATACTAGAACACGATTGACAGAGGCCCGGGTGACTAATGAGCATGTTTTTTACATATTATTAAATCCCCTTTATTTCTTTCAATGAACGAACTTCTACTCCCGTGGCCTTTTCTTCGCGTGGGATATTGCGTGCAAGTACCAGTGTGATCCAGTGCTTATGTGACATATGTGATTGCTCATCAGTGATTTGTATTCCGTGATTCGCACTTCATGTTCAGTGAATACTGCTATTATTACGATTACTACAAAAGATCAGTGTTCTGTCGGTATGGCCTCGTTGCTTAGCTGGTGAGGAGTATGCGCTGAACATAACCTTGAGCGGCAACCATGTGTAGGTGTACACCTAATGGAGATCACTGGGCTTTTGACAAATAGGAACATAAGTTTCAACAATACTGAATAATATGATCTGGCTAGGCGCACAACCACATCTCTCTGTTGACACAAGAAAACGATTGATTAATAGTTGTTCATCACTCCGGTTTCCTAGATCCCTCCCATCACAAATCGAGTTTGGTTGCGAAAATTCTACCTCCTTTTGGCAGGCATTCAGCTGTGTCAAAAACAAGAATCAAGACAAGAATAGTTACAATGAATTAAAAGGGTTACGTTGTCCAATCGTAAAGTGAAATAGCACCGGAATGACCTTTTGTCGGGTTCGTACGAGCTTTGAACCATGTCCAAGTAATTGAGTCAGCAGGTGTCAAGCGAATGTGATTTCTTCTGCGACCTACCAAGTCTAATTAAACGTCCGATAAAGGACCCATTTACTCATGTTTTCCAAAAGGGAATCATTTTGACGAAAATGCAAACGTCAACGTTGGCTTCATTCAAGCTGAACTATGCGATCAGTTTGGCTGTCTGGGCATTATTGTATCACAACATTCCTCCTATCCACGGCAATGCCACTTCACTACCGATCACATTTTATGACGATATGATTGTATTGCATTGTGTATAACTTTTGCAAGCACTGGAGCTCACATTTCAGTTAAAAAATCATACACGCTAACCGTCACGATGTACATAATCAACGGGGAGAAAAGTTTTTACAGGCATGGGGACATTTCATAATCCGAGGTTAAGACACATTTCACTTATTGTCCTCTCTTTGTTTATGAGTAGACGAGCAAGATACGGTATGGGTGAATTGCGGTATGCAATAATTCGAGATGAATTTTGACGGAATTGAGAGCGTGTTGAGTGATGGGAACGACAAAGTGTCAGTTCTGATTGATTGTCTCTATCTATCTATCTGTGCATCAAAACGGTAAACGAGGCTGATCAGGTGTTCAACGAGGCGTAGGCAGAAATTAAGTTAGCAGAAAATGGACTTAAACCTTATCCAGATTGTAAAGGAATTGTACTACTGACCAGTAGACCGGATACTGGTAGATAAGTAAGTAACCGTTGGAAGACTGATTTGTCTATGTAAAACATCTCGAGCGCAAAGAAAAAACAATTTTAAAGAAAGTGATAGAAACAAACGTGAAAATGAAAAACACGTTTTGGCTGATCACCACTAACCCCAGACCAAGCGGCTTCATCCAAATTATGAATTATTGCTTATTTGTGTGATAAAAGAAACATGAGACCTATATGAAATCAATATTGTGGAAAGAAACATATTGGTGCGAACAGAACTAATTCCTTTATCACTACTAATCGATACGTGTCGGTTGCACGCCTGACGACATAAACTATCGTTCTGATTAGACATTCTCTCAGTTTTTGTGAGCACTTTATCTGGAAGGTTCCCATAGAAATCTACTCCCCGGATCTCGAACCTATTCTTATTCTGAATAAAATAACGATCCGATTGTTACAATAAAGACCCCCTCGCCGCAAAACATGCGACCACTCCCCCCTCCCCCCCCCCCNTTACCGCTTCGACGTTACTGATTGCTCTCCTGGTTCTCGTTTGAACTGGGCCCAGTTGCATCTGTTCCGGTTGAGGGTTCTCTGCCGATGGTGTCCTCTCATGGCCGTTCAGTTGAATAGTTGGTATGGATGAGGACACCGTGGCATCCGTTGGACGACGATGTTGCAAATGCGGCAGTTCCTCGTCCGTCCCGGTCAGTCTGCGACGCAGAAGCTCCGCGTGTTGCAATCCGCGCAACGCATGTCTTTCCACTATGGTCAGATGTTGATGTGGATAGTATGGACTCGCGTGAGGCTCCGGCTCGGGGGTCAGGGCCATCGCGTGACGTGGGCTTCGAAGATGTGATATGGTATTGTGAAATCTTCTCGGTGCTGCCTTATTCGTCTCACGTGGTTCAACATAGTTCGATTTGGCTTGGACAATGAGTGATTCAGTGATCGGTTCATTTGACAGAGGCAACGGTGGGAGTGAGTCATACGTGTTTGTCCCGCTGTTTTGACTCGGGCTAGGAGAGGGATTAAGCAGACTCTCCGGGGCGTCCTCGCGGACAGACTGTTCCAACAAGAGGGCAGGGGTCAAGATTGGAATCGGACCATCTCGGTACACGTCAGCACTTGACCTCGGGTCAGGCGTATTCTCGGCCGAAGATTTACGTGACGAGCGAATCAGACTTCGGAGCTGATTTCGCAGTTTGCCTCCGGAAAATGAGGCTTTTTGGGTTGGTTTTTGTTTTTTCGCAGGTGCCTCGTTACCTGTTCCAGTGTGATTCGGAAGGTACATTGAAGGAGTCTGTTGTCCAGATGGGACACTGGAAGTTG